CTCACCTGCAAACAGGCGTCGGGCAACAATCGCGAATGCGGCGCACTTGTGACAATAAGCAAAGGTCATTATAGTGTTACGACCATACGACGTACGGGAATGAGTTATCAGCTGTCTAATCGTAGACAACACAATGTCGAGCCTTAAACTGTAAGCCTGTATTGGTATTGTTTCTTAAATTTGGCTGTCGAACATTAATTTGTGGTTTGAAATATGATTTTATGTAAAATAATTGATATGAAACAGCCGTCTCTTAAGTTATGACCCCATTACACCACACGCAAGTGGCAGAAATGACAATGATCAGCTGACGCATTTTTCTTGGCCGAAGTCAGAGCGCGCGGCCCGACGCACCACGCGTATTTGGAAATTCCGACCTCGACGAGCATCAGAAGCCACCTAACAGGCGTGTTCGAAACCGCAGGAGATGATGATGAACGGGTTTATCGAAACTTGATTGGATGAGCCTATCGGTAATAGCGATTTTAGTGTGTGCATTTATTGTTCATAGTAGTGTGAAATGTGGTTGGGGTACGACCGACAACCCGTCGGGGCGAATTTCGCACTGGGGTACTCAAAATTTGAAGAATTTAAGACGTTTCCATAAGTTTTGAAGGTATGGATAAGTTCTAAAAATCCGGTTCTCCTTATCCGGGTCATTAACTCCATATGGTCCAAGAAAGCTGGCACACTACCTTTAATCTAAGGAAAGACTACGCTCGCTTCGCTCGCTCCGTAATAAACATTTCTCAGACGTGCCACTTTCCTGATCATCTGCTGACTATCCATACTCGTAGGTCACCGCTCACTCGTCTGACTCAGTGCCGCCGCCCGGCCCTTTCGATCCGCCTGTGATCCGCAGTGCTCGCAGCTCGTTTCCGGCCTATTTCAGCGGCCGGTGCCCATTGGAGGCGCTCGATGGGTGACGCTGTCTGGCCGTCTAATTGGACTACTGGTCAGGTCCAGCGCTAGCCTAACTAACGAGCAGCCGCGATCCACCGAGCCCATTGTATGGGACGGTGAGTTACTGCGGCGACAAAAGGGCCGGCCACTGCCGGACGTGCTATGTGAGGTTGGACGTTATTTATTTATACAAGTGAAGATGCGCTCCATAGCGATCAGCCCAGCAGTGACTACTAGTGCTGAGGCAATAACAGGAATCATTGTTTTGCTTTTTGCTCGTGGCGATTTCTTAAATATTATCGTATCTACCCCACCCATACATCCCGCCTAATTCATGCACTCGAGTCTGAAGTTGGCAGTAGGGCTGGTTTCATACCCCTTCATTTCAAATGTTCCGCTCTGTTGTATTATGTAACAGCATTTTCTTCCACACTAACGAGAAAGCCGCAGGCTCAGTGACAATCTGTGCCGGTCATATATGGATGTTTCTGGAACATATAAAAGTAATAGCGGTAGGGATTTCCATGAATCCCATACAAACCGCCCGCTAATTCATTAGCGTCCGCACGCCTGGCGTGCTCAAAGGACGTGCCAGGGGGATTTGCTTCGTGCCTTATATTTAGATACTATAGCCGGCTGTCCTCGCCGACCATTTAAAACAAAGTCATTAGCGTTTAGCACCGTTTGACCCCTGACCCCATCTGGAGGTGGTGGCCATTCCGTCGGCGCCGCACCCATTGGCCCACATTCGACCGCTGGGCATGAGTTACATCATACCGCTAATGTGGCCGCGGAGCGAGGTGCGTGGCCGGCCGTTCTGTATGGTCAGCCGGCGGCCGGCCCGGCCCTCCGACCGTGTACGTTTGGCGGCTTCACGAGCGGGCCACAGCTCGACCCGTAATGATCCGGTCCGGTGACCCCACCGCCGGGTCACGGGACGTGCGGACTAGTTACACACGCGCCGGTGAGCTGTTCGCCAGGCGTGGTCTCAGAGGCGGTGAGGCCAGGTGGAGTCGTGCGTGGTTTGCGGGATTGCAGAGGGAGATATAGGGCCTGTTCCAGCGCCTCCAGTAGAAATTCTTGACTGGAGGCTCTACCAGAGGTTTCACTGGAGGCGCTGGAACGCAATCTGGAGATTTCTGGAGATTGGCATCACAGATACCAAAAGAATGTCGATTGTTCTCTCTTGAAATGCAAAATTTGTTTTCAATTTTATTAAGAAAGATTAACAAAATTATAGCAATGTAATTTTCTTTACATTCAAGTTGTAAAATAATCAGTCAAAAGTCCTTTGTTTACATTCGTGATTGTCATATGTGCGCCATAATTGTAGACCAGAGCCTCCAGAGAAATTTGGACCTCCCAACTCTCTGGAGGCTACTGGAGGTTTCTGGAGCTTTGGCGAGAGCTTTCTGGAGCTTTCTGGAGGCGCTGGAACGCTCTCTGGAGGATTCTAGAGCTTTCTGGAGCTTTCTGGAGGTTTCTGGAGGCGCTGGAACAGACCCATAGGCTGCTGTCCACCGGCCACCGCCGTCTACTGTATGCAATATCACTATCATATACTGTCATACCACCGCTCTCATCTACTCTTCAGTCATCTTCTGCCATCCATTGTCGTCACCGACCATCCGCCCAAGTCCAACGTCGTCCACTATCATTCCACCATCGTCCACCGTGTCATTCCACGGCCGTCCACCGTCGTCCACCCCAGCTGCGGGTCGGTGGACCCCTTGCCATGACCCGCGGCTATTCTCGTGCCGGCGGCAGATGATCTGTTCTGATGTCGGGATCAGAGGCGCCGCCGACAGCACCGGCCACCATTCGTCTGCCCGGCGGGCGGCCGGCGGACCGGTCTGGCAGTGTCGCCCCCGCCCCCGCCCTCGCCCCGCGGGCGGCTGTCAGAGGCCACAGGTGCGGGCTGTCCCCTCCGGGAGGCCAGCCAGACAGCCTGACCGGCGTCCCGCTGACAGGTCACGACGAGACAGGTCACGACGTGGTTGACAGCTCTGAGCTCGAAATGTGCCCTAATAAGCAATGCTGAAGTGCAATGAATGTTAGAGGATTTAAATCGGATAAGAAAGTCTCTAACTTTTTGTGAATTAAATCCATCCACAAGTTTGGATCAGTTTTGCTATAGTTAGCTCCCTTGCTAGTTATTATTGAATTTATTCGACATCATTGCAGCGTAAGTCCATCAGTCGACCAGCCCTGGCAATGCAGCCCATCAGCCGTGCATGTGTCATCACCCTGCAGGCTGACGAGCATCTCTCGGCGGCGACAGGTCACATGATCCAACCGTGCCTCATCGATTTGTCCCGTGTGGGTGTGGGTGCGTGCGCGGACCTCCGCCGGCGCCGGGCCCACTGTCTGACTGACGAGCGTCGGTCGGCCCGACGGCCAGTCTGTATCGACACAGCAGCACGCGATGTCGGCCGCCCCCGCCCCCGCCCCCGCCCCCGCCCCCGCCCCCGCCCCCGCCCCCGCCCCCGCCCCCGCCCCCGCCCAGATCATCTGCCGCCCTCGGACATAATCCACCGTCCGCCCGCCGAGAGCTGAGCGACTGAAATCGGGCTCAAACGAGCGCTAGTGAAACATATGTGGCGGTAAGAATCTCCTATCGACCAGGCGTGACGATATAGTATATGTAACTCTTTTGTTCGTCAAAGAGCAAAAATATGTCACCGATGGGCCGTCAGCAAATCATTATATCACGTCATAACCACACCGACAGACAGACGCAGTTGCTGCGGCGGGATATGCGTTTCCGCCAGCGTAGCCGCAGGCAAATCGATCGTGACACGCTACGACTGGAGCAGTGGACCGTGGTCTGTTGCCGCCTCCGGTGGGATGAGGACCTCTGGCCGGTCACCTGATAGTCCAGCTGGGGCAGGACACCACTGATCCCCTCTGATGACACGTCATCCGACACTACCGCCTTATCAGCGGCGCAGCCCACCTGCATTGATGGACGCTGCGCCTCCGGGCTCCTGGCTCGTTTGAGACAATGATATGGGCTCTGTCCAGTCCATATAACTAGACGATGGATTATTACCGCGACGGGAGGACAGACTGGGATACAGACTGACTGCATCGGTGACTGATGGACTGACAGACTGACGCGCTGTAGGATTCGATGACTACTAACGGACTGATGGACTGACTGACGGACTCGAGTAAGGGGGACGGAGGTAGGGAATGTCTGTCTGTCTGTAGCCAACCGCCGGACTCCCTATTGATGTTACCCTCACCGGTAGCGTGACAGCCACCGCTGCCCAAATCAAGGTTTTATTTCCAGATTAAGATGTAAATTAGTTTTGTGGTCTAACGTGGCTCTCGGCCACCAGTAGTCCAAACAAAGCTGTATGACAGCGGCGGTCGGCGGCAGCCGGTGGCAGCTCCGATTTCTTTCTGTGTGTGTTGTGAAATTATGCATGAATTAGCGTCGGCCAGTGGTCGGCAGATGGACATCAGGCCAGGTCTAGCTGTCGGAGCCAGTTGGAGTGATGTCTGTCGAGACTGTGGAAGAGGCTTTGATGTGCGCCGGGGGAGGGAGCCCAGAGGGTGGGCCGGGAGGCGGCAGATGGGGTGGACGGGACGGCGGCAGACGCCGGAGCCACCGGGAGCGGTCGGGGCGCTCACGCTGACCCAGTTGGTGTGGGAGAGGTGGGAGTCTGTGGTTCAGCCTTCACCCCCGAGACCGCCTCGCTGCGGACTGGCTGGTGAATGGCATTACTGAACCACAGGCACCGGCCACCGACGGTGGAGGCATTTTACAAACTACGGACGGCGGCTAGTCGATAGTTTCTGTTGACATATACATTAGCCAGTGGACAATCATAGCAAAAACGTGAAGCTGGTACGCGAAATGTCACCCAACTTTAAAAAAGATCCCAGAGCATATTTTTCGTGCTGGAAGGGAACAGAATAATCAGCTTTTCGCTATAATAAATAAGTGGCGCGCAGTATGTACAAAAAAGTGATTTCTCGTAGCATGTGGCTGTAATGAGTTCTGAGGTCAAATGAGTACCACGAATGCCCATGATATCCAAATTCCCTATTTCCAAATAGCTGACGCCCCTGTCCCTATCTCTCTGCAGCGCCGGAGCCGGCCAGTAACACGCAGACGTGCGGGATCTGCCAGCGGCACTTCCAGCTGTCCGACGTCATCCGGTTCGTGCAGCAGCGGGTGTTGGCCGGCTCTCCAGCCGTCACCGAACCCCTGGCGGCCAGTCCCCCGCCCGACCGGCCTGCCGACCAGCTCAACGGGCGCCGGCGGCCCAGCGGGGGCGCACGACGCCTGCTGACATCTGTTGGCGACCGCGAGAAACTGCAGTTGAACGGCCTGTCGCCGACGCCGTCCGTCTCCAGTTTGTCCTCGAGGGAAGAGGAGAGCAGGAGAGAGCGGGAGGAGGAGAGCAGGAGAGAGAGGGAGGAGGAGGTGCAGAGGCGTCTGGTCGACGCTGGAGCCAACACCACCGACTCCGGTAAGTACAACGAAGGCAGCCCTCGGCAACTCGAATGGTGTTTGAGGATTCTCCGATGTAAACGCTCAGGGTTATGGAAACTTCTCGGACGTATTGCATGATTTCTCTCCGGATGATTGCTCTTATATTGATGCATGCATTTTCGCTGTTTTTATTGTTGTTGAATAGTCCTTTTTTATTGTGAAAGTTGCATGCTTGTGTTGTTTTATCGAAGTCACTGGCTAAATTAAATTGTCTGAAGCTATGTTTAGTAGTCTTGAAACGACAGTAGAGCATTCCCTACCAAATTTAATTTACATCTCCTTCGTAGTGTTGCTACATGAAGCAGCCAACGACTGGGTGACAAAATGGGTCAGTCGGGGGCCATCCGTGGCGACAGGGCTCCCCGCCGCGTCCCGAATTGTCTCCCGTTCTGTGTGCGCTCACCGTGAGCAGTCCCCGTGAAGCGCCGCCGCGGAACGGCGCCAATTTTACAGCGCAAACACAATGCCCCTCACGGCTGGTAGGCTGGTGCCGCGCTCAGGTCCCGTGACCGGACCGTGACAGGATGAATTCAGCGGCTTGGACGGCGGTGACGCGGGCCGCCCGTCCGCCCAGACGGCCTTTCTCCGGCCTGAGGAGGCTTACATATACATATGCTCATAGCCGTAGTGTCGTGCGTACTACTGAGCGCGTCCTGGCGGGAGAGATGGGCTATTTTGCTGGTTTCTAGTCGGCGTAGTTTATTGCAATAAATTTTTTCCTGGTCTAGTGAACTCCACTTTTTTATTCGAAATCTAATTTCGATTCCCCATGAGAATTTCCACAACATACAAGTCCCACCCACCGTCACACATTTTTCCACCGCACGGACGATTTTTTACCCTTAGCTACTCGTCACCAGTGTCACTACCTCTAGCTGGTCAGTAGCAGGCGTCAGCGAGCGTCACGGCGGGTTGTCTCTGGGTGTCTCTGGGTGTTTTTGGACATCACTGAGTGTCGCTAATGGGTGCGGTTCCGGAGATAGCCGCTGTCGGACCTCCCCCCCCCCCTCCCCCCCCCCTCCGGACAACCCTCCGGACACCCCCGTCGGCATCACGGCAGCTAATGGTTGGCTTCCGCTGGGCGGCCGCCGCTGAGAATGGCTACTGTCTCCAGCCCTCTCCCTCTCCCTTCCCCTCTCTCATCTATCTGTCCACTCGCTTCTCTGATGTTGTCTTCCTCACACAGTTTCCTCTGACGTCTTCCCACCCAATCCTCTCCCGTGTCCATGGCCGTCTCCTTATCCCTCTCCCTTTCTCTCTCTCTCTCTCTCTCTCTCTCTCTCTCTCTCTCTCTCTCTCTCTCTCTCTCTCTCTCTCTCTCTCTCTCTCTCTCTCTCTCTCTCTCTCTCTCTCTAACTCTCTCTTTCTCTCTCTCTCTCTCTATCCCTCTCTCCCTCTCTGCCTCTCTCCCTCTCTCTCTCTCTTCTCTCTCCCCCCTCTCTCTCTCTCTCTTCTCTCTTCCATCCCTTCCCATCTTCTTCACTGTCCCTCCCTGTTCCTTTCCCGTGCTCTCCAGTCTCGATGTCCACCGTTTCGTTTCGCCGTAGGTCTTCTGACCTGATTTGGTTGCTGGCTGCCTAGTAACAGATCATTTCTGATGGAGACGAATCGGATCTGATAATCTGCGGTTTGACGATCATTAGGTAATTCCTACGAGTTGCGTTAGACGACAAATTTGGACCTGGGGTCTCTGCGTCCAGTGAGTCCTAGCTTAACCCTTAACCCTCGCCCGCACATGGGGGGTTGCCACCCCCCCAGGCAGTCTTTCTGCTCTGCACTCAACATTTTTAGAGCTAGAAGGCTGATTTTTCGTATAGCTGCTCGTCTATCCTTTCTTGATGTCCACTGAAAATTTCAAGTTTCTGTGATTTTTGGTTTCGGAGATATGACCTTGTTTTTCAGGTCATGTCATGACCCAAATGGCCAATTCTCAACATCTTGCGTTTGCCATGGGCCTTGTGAGCTTTTGACACCCTGATTTCGGCCTTTTTTGCCAGTCTCACCTCCCACCTATCATGGAACATGTTGTTCGACGATGTACAGGGGTCAAAGTCAGGGTCAAGGTCAACCTAGGTCATCTAAGATAATTGCGTTTTAGGCAAGCTGAATTTACTTTTTGTGAAGTTTTTTGACTGCATTTTTGGTAAAAGCTTCTTAGATCATGATTTCATGTGATATGGACCCAAAAAAAATCGGTGCACACATCAGTATACACACAGACACACACAGACATACAAACACATATATTTGACCTTGACCTAACTTGACCTGAAATGACCTCAGCAGCAAAATTCTGGTCGGATAGTGTGACAAAGAGGTTCTAGCTGGCTTGGCACCAGAAAACAGCATCGTCATTGGTATTTGATAAGCAGCGCACTTGATATCCAACGGTGACCCAAAACAGCAACATTTTTTAGTTTGACCTGACCTGGAAGGTCAATGACTGACCTGAGAAGGTAAAACTGGGTGTCATTGGATTCGTCTCTTCCCAAAGAATCTTTTTGGTCTTTACTGCTAAGCTCTATCTCCAACAGGAACGAAATGGCGCGGGGGGGTGGCAACCCCCCCCCCCCCATGTGCGTTCTAGGATGGGAAAATGGCATGTGCGGGCGAGGCTTAAACTTAGGGGCTACAACACTTTTAATGTGCTAAAGCCTTGAATATAATACGTCGGACTGAAACATTCCCCGAACGGCCAGCGGGGTCGGCGGGTTCCGAGCGCGCGGAAGGGAGAGTCAAGGTCTGTCGGCCGCCGGTGCCGATCAGCTGGGCATATCGGCCAGCCCGGCCCGTGATTGATGACCCCGTGTGACCCTGGGTGACCAGCGCGGCCGCCATACATCACACGACCGCCAGCGGCTAATGATTTTATGAACCTGCGCCGCGCGGCTATCGTTCCGCTGCAGCACGCTTATGGAAATACGGTCGTGACAAGGAGAGAAACGCGAGCCCGCACGCCGAGACGCCATCACCGACAATTCATTAGAATCCCACGCAGTCGACTGTTACGCCAAGCTGGAGGTCGTGTTATGCAAGTGGCGATGAATATGAACGGGGCGCTAGCCATGAGGTCCGACGGAAAACGTTTCCTACTCGACGCTCCTTCCCGAGACGGATTTCTCACGTCGGTTCATGGTTTGGGGATGACGGGGGTCCTGGAATATACATGAGCAAATGGAATGCTGTTTCCGTTTATTTTGTTATGTATGTCTACTGGCCAACGACTCAGGTTTCGCCCTGCTCTCGTAGTGCTGTGCTGAATGGTCTCGCTCGCCAAGGGCCGTGCGGCAGAGCAGCCGCCTGAAAGGATTGGGATATACTGTGCCGCAGTGCACGCTGGATAGTTGCCGACTCCTCCCCCAGATGGCAACACTAGCTGGCTCGGAGTGGAGACTGGCCTCTGTGCCCAGTCCCACGCAGTAGCGGCGGAACACCTTCAATTAAGGGGGGAGGGGGGGGGGGCACTGCCGACTTTTGGTCCCATTCTTTCCATGCAACGCCCATAGGGCTAATGTTAAAATGGCAAAGTCAAAGGGAGGCACGGTGCCCCGGTGCCCTCCCCGTTCCGCCCCATATGTGCCCAGGCCGATACGTTCGCGGAATAAAGGTTTCTCAAGTGGTCTGGCACCTGAATTCATTCTCCTGACTTTGCTTACCCAATTTCGCATTTGTTGTGTCAGATTAAATGATTTTCCTGTGATCACCGTGAATTTTTTTCGAATACGGAGATCCGGCTTCTCTTCAGACGTTTAAGCAATTAACGGCCATCGCTTCTGACCAGCGCTGTTTTTGGTAATTATTCTGTCATAATTACCTCGGCGGCAACCCTTTTTAATTTGAGGAGAGCTGCCCCCATGTTCGTCATTTATCACTCAGACTGAATGCGTAATAGGCCCTACTCCAAATTAGACGGTACGGTTTCTGGTTTCTTCCGATTCATTATTTACGTATACAAGCAGTTGGCTAACTTGGCCGTCGTAGCCAAACGTCAGCAATTAATGACAATACCAATTTCCGCATTCCATTTAAATACAACTGCAAAAACACATAGCCAGTTCATCATTATCATCTTCTTTCGGCGGATTATCTTACCCATGTTCTGATGTACAATCAGCTCCAAACAGAGGACTCACACCACCGCCACCGGCGAAATCCGCCCCAACACCAGCTGCGTCGCCGGACGGAGTGGTGTGTCACCAGTCGGAGCACCATTGGTGATGCTGGAGGCGTGTCCCCGGCTGTGCCACCCTCGGCCCCGTGGCGGCGGCGGCGGCGGCGGCGGCGGCGGTGGCGGCGGCGGCGCACACTGGTCCATTTGCATGCTGGCGCCGTTAGTGACGGCCGGTGACGGGGCCGTCCGGCGCGCCCCCATACGGTCCACCTGGGGCGGCCCACATGCAAATCGCGTCGTTGGCAACACTTGTGCGCCAACGACGACCGAGGTGGTGGCGATGACGAACCCTTCCGGCCGCACTTGTGGCCTCCCGAGGGGAGAGATAAGGGGCGAGAGACGAGCCGGCGCTGCGAAATGAGCACCGGCGGCCGAAAAAAAGCGCTGGGAATTCACAATAACGCAGATTGAGACAAAGGGTGATGTGGGAGCGGAGTAACAGACAAAACAGCGGTGGGGTTGAACGCGCATTTGCTGTTGAAATGATCGCTGGGGAAGTAGTCCCCGGCGCCCCTTTCCTCCCCTGTCGAATCACTCAGTGCCGACAGAACGCCTGAGCTCCTTGCTGACAGCTAGTTAAGCCCAGCTCGGACTCTGATTCCCTCTGTCCGTCTCGTCCCACGGTTTTCGGTCCTCTCCGGTCGGCCGGCGTGGTCCGCCGGTCCGGTGACCTCTCTGGACGTCGGGTCAGCCGCGCCGCAGGCACCCATGGCTAACCCGGCCAGTGGTCGCGCCTGTCCATAATTTCCGAATAGGACGCGTCCATTTGACGTCTAAAAAATGGCGCGTAATGAGGCGGCGCGCGC